GAGTATCCTGACAGGACCCTCCCCGCCCCGAGTCAAGACCACCGGATGCCTCCCTGGACTGGGCCTGGCGCGCTCCTGGCCAGTGGCAGCGCCCAGTCTTGTTGTCACTGGCTGGCAGGACCTTGGCCTCTGGTCAGGTCCTCCCCTCCCCGCCTGCCCCGTCAGAGCCGACGGCTCACAGCTATTCCTTTGGGTCCCACTCTGCCTTCGCCCAGACCCTTCAGGGACTGTGCCTGCCCCCTGCTCCCACAGTCAGTGAGCCCCAAGTTCTGGGAACTCCTCCCCTGTGCCCTCCAAGTCAAACTCATGCCTGTGCAGGAAGCAGAGTTCAGAGAGATAACTGTCTTTTGAAAAGAAAAACAACCCTCCCAAAACAACTTGGGATTTTGAACAGAAAGAGCAAAGAAAGCTTTGGGAAGCCATAACCTAGTGCTCACCCTGGGCTCTGGCACTACGTTTTTCATCAGCACACAAGACAGGCAGCAAGTCTGGCCAGGAGGAAGCGTGCCGCTGTTGTCTATGGGCATGCACAGCTTTTTAAATTCAGCAAAACCTCATGCTTATCGAAATTCAAGAAACAACAATAAATATTATCTGAATATCTGCTTCCACGAGGCATTCTGTTACCCCCTCACTTCACTGCAATACTCCAGCACAGAGCACCCCAGCCACAGAAAGTGCTCAACACATTATTCCACGTTAGCCGGCACTTCAATGTCAGAGAAAAGGCAAAGTGGTCCAACTACACGGCCTAGAGGCACGGGTCTCCCAGACTGGTAAAACGGGTTCCCAGGCAGGCCTGGCCGGCCCTGGTGCTCTAGTATAGTTTCCTCGGGCTCTCAACAGCTCTGTGGACTGTGGCACATCATTCAGTGGAGACTTTGCAAGGACGTGTTCAAGGTCATCCAAATGGCAGTGTGGGCTGAAACTTGTGCTCCTAGTGACCAAGGCCCCTGGCCTCTTCCCTTGCAAGAATGTGATCATCTGGGTAAGTCAGGTTTTTGAACAACCAAGGCTCAACGCTAGCCCCGTGCAGTTTAACCCCAGTCATGGTTTAAATGTGAAACTCTGAAGATAACGTTGTGGATGGGAAACTCAAAGGCTTTCTCACAGCTGTCTCTGCATGGCTCCTTAAGACCCATCGTGAGGTTAGATAAGCCACGAGGGAACACACACACAGCACCTCCCTGCTGTGGAGGGCCCTAGTGTGCCCAGGGCTTAGCTGACCCTCTGAACTCCCTTTCTGCAGATGACCACCCCTTGCGGCCTGGGGCGGGGGTTGGGTCAATTTGTGAAGTGACCCTTTCCTCCAATAGGCAGCCCCCACTCTTCAGTGGGGGCTGAAGCTAGGGAAACCCAGGCAACCAAAGACTGTGGAAAGAACGATGGGCCCTGTACCAGGGAAGGAATGCAAGTGCAGGGACTTTGGGAAAACCTTCTACTGGCAGGTGACGACTGTAGTTTCATGGCTGTCAATGAAGATCACTGAACACGGACCGTCACACAAGTACCACAAGAAGAAAACCTATGACTTAAGTGTATTTTTTTTTACTTAACTCTGTTTTTTTGTTTGTTTAAAACTTTAAAAGGAGACTGGTGCCTTCAAGACTAAATAGGTTGGGATCAGAGACCTTAAAACCAGGTATCAGTCCTGCTGAATGACAGGTGCAAACTGAAACTCTCGAAGGTAATTCAACATTGAAAAAAGCAGGAACTATCAATTATTTAGGAATAAATTAGGTTTGAAAAGTACCAATGAAAATGTCTAAAAAACACAGGGTGGAGGGGAATGAAGAGGGGGAATAGAACTGTAATGGCATAATCAATAAAATATATTTTTAAAAAATCTCTAAAAAACATATAAAGATCAAGAAGACTTTACTCTGATTTACTGTTCAGGAATCCTTTTTCCAAATACATTTTGGGAAGCCTGTCTCAGAAATCTCAGCTCAGGTAGATTTTAGGCACCTGTGATGCATCTAACCACGCAACGACAGAGATGGACAGGTTTCGGTGTGCCCAGGTGATGACAAAAAACCCCTCCTCCCCTCCATGTGGGGCAGCCAGTGGCTCTGCTCTGTAAACAAGAAATCCAGAAGAACACTAGAGACAGGGAATCATTAAAGATCAGGCAAGTCTTCTTTATAGCAGAATTAGGTGGTCCTGTCTAGCTGCCTGCCTGCTTTACTATCTGGGACATGATTTCAGGGGACATTTTAAAATTTAAAACCTGGGAATTTTTTTTAACTCTTCACCCAAGGACATACCTGTTGATTTTAGAAAGAGAGGAAGGAGGAAGAGAAACATCGACTGACTACCAAATCTGCAACCCAGGCATGTGCTGCAACGTGGAATGGAACCTGCGACCCTTTGGCTCCTGAAGGAGGCTCTAAACAACTGAGCCACACTGGCCAGGGCTAGAAAGGGAGATTCCTAAGCCGATTTTTGATGTTTCTAATTACTCCAATTGTAACTCTGTATTCTGACTCTAATTTTTAAATACAATTTGCTAGTTTTGTATCAAGTTGCTTCCATTTGAGATTCCATTTGAGATTTCAGGGATTTCTAGAAATCCCTGAACACTGAGTTTGAAAGACAGTCTTTTGAAGGCGGTCTGACGTATTAGTGGGAAGAGGATCTGACCTCCTCCAGCTATGCGGAAAGGGCAACAAGCTGTAGAACTGACAGCAAATGTATGAACAGGGACTATTACCCGCCTTTGAGCACACATGTAAGATTCCCTCTACTTTTTCTCTCATTCTTCAGCTAAACGGTGTTTTAACTTCTGGTTACTTTCTGATTTCACACACACACACAAATCCCAGTAAAAAGATCTGGTCGCCTTTAGAGCTTCCCTTTCAGAATCCGGAGAAACCTGCACAGCACACCCTTTACAGAGCTTTTCTGACAAAGTCGACACTTTGCAAGAGGACATGTTTACAGGGATTTCACTTATAGCCGTACATATGGGAAGTGCCTTCACTCACTGGGAACAACAGAACAATTTCTTAAAGAAATAACCCTTTGGCTCTCACCCATCAATCAGTCCAGTAACAATGACAACTCCCCAGATTCCAGCAGCTTCGAGGGACGCTTTTCACAAATGTTTACCGAGGACTCTGGCTAAGCCTATTATTATAGACCTTTTTGATACTTTGCAGCTAAGATTCAGTAAGTCTGGTAAACGGGTCGGTGGCTGCTCTATTACTGACAACCCAGACTAACTGTAAAGAAGTGATAAGAAAGGCTGGTTTCAGAAAAGCCAGTTTCATTTACTGCTCTGCTCCTAAGAACGTAAGAAAACTAGCCGAGTACAGGGTCCAGCACAAATAACAGCCCCTTTTTATTACAAAATCAAAAGCATGTAATTCTGTAATGTGACAATATCACACTCAAGCACACCATATTCTACTTTAGGTGAAATATTCAAATTAAAACTATAAATTATTACACCCATATTATTACCCTTTCCACCACACTCAAGCAGGCCTTACCTCCACCAGACCCTGTAACTTCACTGAAAGGGAAAGAAACCCAAGGCCAAAGTGATTCACCCAAAACCTTATTACTGATTAGTTATGAAATCCTCCAGGTGCCCTATGGCAGCCTTAACATGAATTCCAATTCTCAGAAATAATTCATTAGACATTTTTACAGTAAATGTTTGCTAACATGATTGAGAGGTTATGTGAGGTGCTGAAGAACACGGTACCAGAAGCAGTAGCTCCGTCGACTCAGGACGGGTAAGCCAGGGTGACAGCAGAGAGGTTCGAGGGCTGGGGCTCTCGAATCAGCCTGCCCAGGCTGAATTCAGGCTCCTGCACTTCTGAGTGGTTGCCTCAGTTTCCTCAGCCATAAATCAAGAACTATCATAACACCTACCTTAAGGGCTGACCTGAGGATTGAATGATATAACATACTATGAATACAGAGTGTTCATTCAGCACAGTGGCCCTGCACAAGTGAGCACTCAAAAACAAAGTGCAACAAAACAAAACCAAACCCCCAAACGTTAGCTATTAAATACCATGCAGACCAGCAATGACTGACTACGCAGACTTGACCAACTCTGCCTAGGAGAGCCAAATCTGGATAGTTCTGATCACTGGAAAACCTGAGCTGGACTTAGGAGTTCCCTGGCAGGCCTGGGAAGATCGACCCCAGCAGCTCAGAGATAAATATTCCACTTTCTGACCTGACCTTGGAAGCCTTCCTGTCCTTCACGATGATCTCGACTGGGCAAGTCAACAAGGAAACGTACCTGACCCCTACTGACACACCTGACACAGTGTGAGACTCTTACTATGTTTTATTCAAAGACAGAACAGGGTATAAGCACGAGTGTGGACACAGACATGCACGCTGAGGCCGTGCTTGGGGCACCACTTTGCTTCCGGCTTTAGAGCTTCGTCCTTATCTGCAGCCTCAGAATTGGCGCTTAAGTCCGGGAGGCTCTTCCTTCAACTTCCTTCCGCCCAGAGGAAAGAAGGGCACAAGACTAATGCGTTTGAGTCTGGACTCACTTCAGAGGCCAGACAGACCCCTGGGGAGGTCGCCTGATAGCTTTGACCTTGATACCCGATACTCAGTTTCCCATCCTGCCAGTCGGGGACGTAGACATATGCCCTCAGCCAGGGCAGGTGTGTGACCTGAGCGTGGCACCGGGTCCTGGGGGCCTGGGAACGCCACTGCCATCTCCACCACGGGAACCCTGTGCCCTCCTGTGGGTATGAGGACTCCGGCCTTGCCTGGACCCAGCGCATGCGAAGCAGTGGTCGCCGAGAGCAGGAGCAGAGACCGCCTAGGACACCCCGGGCACGAGGGTCTGGGCGCTAGGGGCCGCCCGCTCGGCCGGCGCTGGTGCACGTCTGGCGGGGTCACGCGGCCTCCCCACCTGCCCTGGCCACCCGTGGTGGGAACGGGGCAATCGCCGCCAGTCCGGCCCTCCCGAACGACCGAGCCCGGCTTCAGCCCCGACGGTATTGCGCCGCAGGCCTCACCTCCCTGCGCACGTTCAGCAACGAGTAATAGTCTTCATTGTCCAGCTCCTCTTCGCTCAAGGCCGTCGCCATCTTCGCAACCTTTCACCCCGCTAAACCGGCAAGGCGGTGCTCAAGAGGGACCGGCGATCGGCTGGCGCATGGCGTGGGCTGGCTCGGCGGCACCAGAGCGGCTCCTGGCGGCTCGGAGTCTCTCTGCCGACTCCGCCCGAGCCTGAGACCCTGCGCCTGCGCCTGCGCCCTGCGCCCCCTTGCGGCCGAGGGCAGGATGCGGCGCCGGGCCCCCACCGCGTGCTGCTCGTGTGCTCCAGACCAGCAGGCGTGCAAGCCCAAGGGCGTGCCTGGGCTGCAAGGGAGACTTCGCAGCCACAGTCGGTGGTCGTCACCTCCTGGGTGCCGCAGAGAAAGGCCCCTGCAACAACTCCCTGTCTACTCTACAGGCCCCCAGTGTGGAGCGTGCCCCGTTCCCAGGTAGTCCGATCTGGGTGGACTTGTGAGCCCACCGGGGCCGGAGGTTCCTCGAGGCTCCACTTGCACAGGACTCCTCCAGAATGGGGTTTGTTCTGCCGCCATAGTTCTTCCCCATTTGTCTTGACTGCATTGAACCTTGATGGGAGGGTGGGCCTCCTTGTTTCCTTTTTTATTATTGCCTATATTTAGAAGCTTCAGGCCGTTTTTCTGCCGCTTAAATGAGGAGGCAATACCCATTTGGTTCCTAATATAATCGTTTCTGGCAGGCACGTATACCTACAACCCCTGTCCCAGAGCCGTTCTCTTGTCAATTTCTACCTTATAATTTAGCGATGGAGCCTAATTGATTTCAACCTGGTGCCTGCTGTTTGGTGCATTATTAAAAATGTCTTGGTTACAATCACCTAAATAATTTAAATGTCTTCAAAATGATGCAGTTATCAAGAGAGGGTGGATCATGGGGCTCCCGTGCTCTTGCCACCTGTTTGGTTCCTGATGACCTGGACCAGTGCTCCCTTATTTCTCCGGAACATTTGTTGTTCTTTAACTAGCCATGAGTTTTAGAACCATCCCTGTTGCCCTTCCTAAACAGGCCTCCTGGGAAGCCTCCAACACCTGCCCGTGGATTTGAGAAGTGGATTTCTTCTCTTCTAGTTTTTGTCCAGATTTGTGCCATCTGGACCTCTGTGCCCTCCCTTCCCGGTTGACCGGTCTCTTCGCCTGAGACACTTAGGTGTGCTGAGACGGGGTATTCAGGAGCGTTGAGTCAGTGTGGAGCAGACTATCAGTCCAGGCTGTAAATTAAGAGCTATTTCTTTAGCTGTGTGAGGCTTCCCCACAATGGCTTTCTCAAATATTCATGTTCCATCAGCTAGCTATTCCAGCAGTTTTGTTTAATGGTCTTTCCTTTTTTTTTTCTCCTTTGAAGAGCAGTGATTAGGGCTCGGCTGCATGATGGCATTTCCTGCCATCTTCTTACAGAGAGGCTGGGGGAAAAATGACAATGTTGAGACATTCCTTTTTTCCTTGGGTTTGTAGACGGTAATTGGGCCACAAGGCTCAGTTGGGTAGAGGAGCTCTTTGCCATCCTTCTTCTGCTTTGGAAAACATTGCCTCTAGGAATTCCATAAATGGAGCAGAACATATGTTTCCAAACGCCCAGGTCCCGGTTTCTCTGATGGAGAAGGACCTGGTTTTTATCACCACCCCAACGGAGTAAATAGTGACTCAGGGCTGCTGTGCATCTGTCCTCTCTTGGGCCCACGATATTTCGTTCCATGGTTATTTGGAGAGTGGTTGTGACGAGTGGAAAATAAACTTAGATACACCACACGCCTGAGAAGACAGTGACTTCAGACGTTGGCTCTTTTGGTTTCTTTCCTCCCAAATCTTAATCTAGGGTGGGAAAAATGAAAATCTGGAGCGGTACGAACTGATACGTAAACGCTCATGTCCGACAGACTGCCCGTACCAGGACATCCGACAAAACTCTCCACATTAACTCACTGCCTTGCCTCTTTGTTTTGTTCTTATCAGACGTAGCCAGAAAGCAACTTGAAACTCAGCTGTAAAACGAAGCCTAATATACTTATGTCATATATTTCTATAACTACATATACATGTATGTGTATCTTTTATATATGTATATATAACTCATCAATTCTCTTAGCCTAGTAGTAAGTATAAGGACACTTACCTCCACCATCGTTCACGTTCAGAAGAACACTTATGCCCCCCCCCCCGTGCCCTGCCCCCGGGACCAAGTGTCTGCTCTGGAAGTTTGCTCTGTTTCAGGGCTGGGGCCCTTCCTCCGAAATGTAGAACCTGGGTTGCCAGATGCCCAGTTAAATTTGAATTTCAAATAAACGATGAATAATCACTAGGGTAAGGGTACTAATATTGCACAGGGCAGATACATATACTAAAATTCATTGTTTATCTGAAATTCAAATTTCACCGGGCAGCCTGTGTTTTTATTTGCTACATCTGGTGACTCCACCTGGAGACCCCTCAATCCTTCCCTTCTTTGTGAGGAATGCTCCTGAGAGCCGAGGAGAGCCTTCTGCAGCTGGCTTCGGTCCCCGCCCCTTCTCTGTAACTCAGGAGGAGAACTCACCTGTGTTCTCTTTAGCATGCTCTTTGTCGCTGTGCCCAGATTGGGGTCTCGTGCTCGGTTGCCGTTCACAGGCTGATCTCCCTTCCCCGCAGGAGGTCTGAGAAGCTTGTGAAGAGGAGTTAGGAAAAAAAAAACCTCTGAAGAAAAGAGAATTTGCAGGCACTCAAGAATTAGATTTCCTTGATGTCCTTTCCTCCCTTAGCATTTCAGTAATTCGTCACTGACATCTTTAGCCAAGACGGTAACTGCAGAAGGGTCGAGCCGCCCGGAAGGGCCACAGCTGCTCCTGTTGAGGTAGCCGCCCAGAGAGGCTGAAGAGCTCACCCCAGAGGCAGCCTTGGGGGGGACGGGGGACAGGGCAGCAGTGCAGGGATAGATTAGTGGCCTCTGGCCTCCCCCATTTTACACCTTGCCACCCCAAGGGAGCACGCACCCCCCAAATCTCCCATTCAGAACTCGTGCCTTTGGGACTCAGCGTTCGTCCTGTAATGCCATCCCCTCATGGTGCCAGAGGTACTGGTTCTCCCTGCTGTTTTTGACTTCAGGTCCTTGGTCTTTACGTGTTAATCCATCCTAATCTGTCTGCTCCCAGCTAGGGTCCCATTCCAGTCTGTTTTCTCAGCCACTCAGTGATAGCATAATCCTTTGACCTTTGGCTCCATCCATTCCCGGTTTGGTTGTCTCCCTTATCTTCCTGTCTGCACCCTTCCTAGGCTGTCAGGAGTCATCGGGGAAAGGCTTGGGAAATTCAAAGGTGATGCTATCTGACTTCAGCTGGTGCCCAGTGTTACCTGGCAGTCCTGGTATAGTCGCCTCTTACAAACACCCTGCAAGATCCTCCCCCCCTGCCCCATGTCCATCAGCTTCTCTTTAGGTTTGAGGACAATGCCCAGGAAATTGGGCACTGGCATTTCAGCAATTCACAGGAGGGAGATGGCTTCTTTGGCTCTTGTGGAACTCACAGTCTGCTGGGGAGGGAGGGGACACACAATAAGCCGGTTTGTTAATAAACAAGACACTTTCAGATGCTCCCCACTGTAAGTAAAGTACGACCCAGGGGTGTGAGAGCAGAACGTCTCAGGTGGAGGCAGCTCCCCTTGAGTTGGTTGGTTATGGAAGATCTAGCTGAGGAGGTAATTTTGAGCTGAATGAGTGATTGCAAGGACGCAGCTTTGCAAGACCTGGAGGAGGAAGCTTCTCGTGCAGAGCCTGGGTGACAGGAACGAGTTTGGTGTGGTCCAGGAACAGGGAGAAGGGCTGGTGAGCCCGAGGGTGATGTGGTGGGCAGAGCCGCAGGAAGAGGTGTCTCAATACTCAGCTGGATGGGCTCCTGCAGGGCCCGAAAGGCAGGGGTCAGGCGTGGGAACCACGGAGGGATTCTCGGCAGGAAGGGGCACGGTTTGGTTAGCTTTTCCCCCAGAGCATCACTCCGAGGAGACTGGGTTAGAGGAAGCAAGAATGAAAGCTTCCTCTCGGCCCTACACCATCAGAGGTTTCTGCCATGGGCCAGGGGAGAGAGGACGGTGCCTGGGGCTTGGGCTGAGCAACGGGGATGGTAAGACATAGAATGCAGGTTGGGATGGAGTCAGCGGAATCTGCCATCCTCTGGGCAGACTCAGGTCGAGTCTGGGGCACGGGGCCAGGAGGACCGGCAGTTACTCTGCCCTTGGGGCTCCAACTGCTAGGTAGTAAGGCCCCTTGTGGAGCTGAGCAAGGCGAGGAAGAGGCAGGCTCGGGAGGCAGGTAACCCTGAATTCTGCTTTGGAGAAGCAGAGTGAGGTCCTCCGTTGATGTCCAGGTGGACGTGGCGCCTGCTGCTTCTGCTTCCTTTACCGCTCACTCATGTCTTGCCGGCAGGTGCTCGTCCCCATCATTTCCTTTGGTTTGCAGTCCGCACTCAATCCATTGAGCTACACCAGCCAGGGCTCCATCATTTCCTTAAAATTTTGTCCCAGTTTTCAGTGACTTCGTAAACCTCGAATCCAATGGCATTTGCTTAGCTGCTGGCTGCCCGGACACTCGGCACTATTTCAATGTTTCCACCTTGTTCCTTGCGACTTCCCTGTCCCTGACTGCTTCTCTTTCTCCTCCTCTTCATCCCTATATTTCTCGGGTGGGTTCCCTATTATTCCTCCTCCTGCTGGCATCCGGGACCTTTGTGATCTGTGTTCACACATCTTTCAGGCTCATATCCCTTGACTTTCTGGGATGGGTCTTTTGGTCTCACCAAAAAAAAAAAATTTATTATTCTCGAAACGTCCCTTGAACGTCTCTGTTCTTCACTCTTTGCTGCACCTCTGAGCTTGCATGTAGGACCTTGACCATCAGCCTGAAAAACACCCTGTGGAATTTCTTCAAGTGTGAGCCTGCTGTTGAAGAACTCTCAGCTTTTGTTTATCTGAAAATGTCTCTATCTGCCTTCATTGATATGAAAGAATGTTTTCTCAGGGTAGAGGAATTTAGTTCGCTAGTTATTTTGTTTCCCAGCACTTTGGCGATATCATTTCACTTCCTTAGG